GTGGGGAGAGACTGGCCAAAAATTGTGCACCTATGGATGAGGACAGTGGGTGGGGAGTGAGGGCGGATGGTGGGGCGGGAACTGGGAGGAGAGGAGTTATGGGGGGGAAAAGAGGAACAAATGTAATAATCTGAATAATAAAGATTTAATTAAAAAAAACAGTAAGTGTCGGTGAGAACGTGGAGAAAAGGAAACCCTCATGCACTGTTGGTGGCTGTATATTGGTGCAGCCACTGTGAAAAGCAGTATGGAGTCACCTCAAAAAGTAAAAATCGAACAGCAATTCTACTTCTGGTATATATCCAAAGAAAACTGAAATGCTAATCCAAAAGAATATACACATTTCTATTTCACTGAAGCATTATTTACACAAGAGCCAAGATTTGGAAGCAGCCCAAGTGTCCATCAGTAGATGAGTACATAAAAAAGCTGTGGTACATTCACACAATGGAATACTACTTAAAAAGGAAATCTATCCTTTGCAACAGCATGGATGAACCTGGATAGTAGTATGTTAAGTGAAATAAGCCAGTCAGAGAAAGACAAGTACCATATGATTTCACTCATATTTGGAATGTAATGACCAAAATAAACTAAAAAACAAAATAGCAACCAACTCATAGATACAGAGAACAGACTGACAACTGTCAGAGGGGAGGGAATTGAGGGGCTGGGTAAAGAAGGTGAAGGGGCTAAAAACAAAACAAAACTCATAGACAACAGTATGGTGATACTAGAGGGAAAAGGGGGTAAGGGAAGATAGAAGAGGAAAGAGGAAAATATTTTTTTATTTTGATAGATGCAAGAAAGGTACACATTTGGATTGGATGGACTTTGCTACAAAAACAATGTTGATACACCTCTATCATGAGGCTTTCTTTATAACCACCACTAAGTTTTTCTGGTGAATCAGACCATGGCACTGGTGCCTAAGCAAGGATCAATTATTTTCTTAAACAGAAGTAGGTCTTGGTCCAAACCACTTGTTGTTTTTAACTAACAAGCCTGGACCCTTCCTATGAATATTTATCTGAATCATACTTTCTAGGAAGGGATGGGGTGAGACAAGCATATGTATTTTTTGAGGTTCTCAGATAATTCTGATTGATTAAGACCCAATTTATAAATTTCTCTTTAATGAAAATAAAATGGCAGTTTATTAAAATTCTGGTGTATTTTCATAGTAGCCATTGATAGATGTGATGAATATTAGATGTGGTTGAAATAAATCTTCAGAGACATATCTGAGATAGTATAGACAACTCATCACTGGTTGAATAAAATTATTGTACATCCATGTTTACTAAATAAATAGCTTCCATTCTGAAAACCAAAACAGTGCAACTCTCAGATAATTATATCAGAAGAACAGGAATACTTCTTGAATGTCTGTCATGTGTATTTTGACAAATGGTCACATGGTGGGCTTGTCATGCTTTATTTAGGCTATGTTTGAACTTATTATTTTCATTATTAAAGCTGAATGAATTTGAATGTCCAAAACAAAACAAAAACCCCCCAAAAACAAAAGACCCATTGATCCTTGGGCTGGGCACAAGGCAGCTAAGTGATTCTTTTTTTTTTTTTTTGATATATTTTTATTGATTTCAGAGAGGAAGGGGGAATGAGAGAGAGAAACATCAATGATGAGAGAGAATCACTGATAGGCTGCCTCCTGCACGCCCCCTACTGGAGATCGAGCCCACAACCCGGGCATGTGCCCTTGACTGGAATCGAACCCACGACCCTTCAGTCCACAGGCTGACCTTCTATCCACTGAGCCAAACCAGATAGAGCAGCTAAGTGATTCTTGAAGTAGTCTGACTGAAATTCTGTCACAAAGGGGTGTTTCATATTGTGTGGTAATAAACGGACTCAATCACACCCACCCACTTTGGAAAGTACTAACATAATTGTGCATGAAGAGCAAACACAAGGTAGGCATTGAGTTTGTGTTTGGCCAGAGCAAAGCTGAGGTAATTCTCAGGTGGCCTATGATGTACAGTGCATCTCCCAGTCTAGAACTACAAGAACTAAGAACTTTGTGAAGCTAAAGAGATGATTTCCCATGTCCAATATATGCTTACAATAATACTACATCAGTAAAGGTGTTCTGTTCATTTTCTTCTCTGCTACAATAACCCTAAGAAACTCGACAACTAATACACATTCTATTCTCGTCCCTTCTGTTGTCCTTATTATCCCGTATTATAATTAAATGATAAAGTCAAACCACAACTATAGGAAATTCAATTTTGTTCCTTATTCTTTTGTTTAACATTAAAGAGTTAAACTTTAAATATTGGAGAAGTGCAGCATTTTGTGCTTGACAAGATTAAATAATATGTATAGAAGAGAAGTGATGAAACTTTTTCTTATACAATGCAATTAATTTTTAAGCATCTGAGAATATTTCTAACATGAGAGAACTTTATGAATACAGAATGTTTATATGCAAAGAGAATTTCATAATAATTTATAACATAATTTGTGGAAGAAAATCAAAGGCATTTGTTTTGTTCTATAATATAAAATTGCTTACCAAAAGTTTTAGCAGCCTGGATAGTTTCTCTGGATCCACGAATTGTCATAATTTGAGCCAAAGCAGTTAAATCATCACTTGCTTTATAAAATGGGTATCGTCCACTGAGCAAAGAAATAAATATGACACCTGCAGACCACATGTCAATAGCTGTAACAGAAAACAAACTTAAAAAAAAATTCCCAAATCAATAATTTTATCATCCACACCAGTAATTCTCAACCTTTACTTACATTTAAATCATCTTGAGAGCTTTAAACATTCTGATGCCCAGGCCCAATCCCTCAGATATCCTGATTTAATTGTTCTGGAGTAGGGCTCACGCATCAATGTTTTTAAATGTTCCCCAGATGCTTTTAATGTAATTTCAGATTGAGAATCTTTTGTCTAATATCTTTAATACACAATGCAATGTTATTTTTTTCTTTAGCAGCATTCTTGGTAAATTTAAAAGGAAATTCACCATTAGAAAAGACTAAGTAAATGCATATTTTAGAAGATCAAAATAAATCCAAAAATAGCTCTGTGGGGGGAAAATCTAGATGTTCCTCAAAAATTATACACCACAGTAATAAAAGTGGTCCACTTTAGTGAAAAGTATCGAACAGTAGTAGCGCTTGTTCAGCCAGGTGCTAAACCCTAACTTTCATTATAGAAACTTCATTCTCCAGAATTCTGGCAATTAAAATTAAGACAAGCTCAGCCTCATGCCCAGAAACTTTTTTTCCTTTTAGGGACATCTCCGAATTGTTGACCTCTTAGCATCACCAAATTAGTTCTCTATTCCCTTGGCCACTGGATCATCTGCCTTTCTTGGTTCCCTTTGTACCTCTGCCTACTCCGTCAGTTTTCTCCAAGCCCTAAGTGCTGAGGTTCCCCAGAGCTCCAACCACTTCCCCGTTATACTTTCCCTTATTGGCCCATCCATTTCATGATTTCAACTACCATTTATATAACAATGACACTCAACTGAATTTCCAAACCAGACTTCCCCGAGCTTAAGGATGTACTTTTATTCTGTTAGCCATTTCTACCTGAATGTCCTAAAAATATCTCAAACCAATTAAACACCCCTAACCTTATCCTTCCCTGTAAATCAGCTTCTTCATTCTCTACCTTGGTTACTGGTGCCCATCCAAATCCCCCAAGCTAGGAATCTGATAAACATCTCAGAGGCCTTCCCCACTTATTCACCAAGCTTTGCCTTTCCAATCCTTCACTTTTCCTTTCATGCCTATTACTTATGCCCTCATTCAGGTTTTCATCCTCTCTCACTTGCAGGCCACCACTCTCCAAAATCTATCTTTTCTGCACACATGCCAGAAAATTTATCTAGAAAAAAATTAATACCATCTCTCTCTTCATAACTTTCTAACACCTGAAGGATACAGTCCAAGTCATTTAACAAGTGTGATCTGACCTTGTCCCTCTTCACATGTTGATTTCTCATCACTCCTCAACTTCCATCTTATATTCTAGCTACACTAAATTTTTGTTTCCTGTATGACAAGATGATGCTGTTTGTTAAGTTCCTTTGCTCATGCCTCAATGTCAACCCTCACTCCAATTTACGATAAACCCTCTTAGAGGTTTTCTCTTCATAAAATTTCTTCCAAAATTCCTTCATGTAGGATAGTTTGGTATCCCTAAAATACCTTGTATAAAGTTTTATAACCATATTTACTGGGTTATTTTGTAATTATTTGAGAGTGTGTCCTAACTGGAGTATAAGCAAACAGTTTTGTTTCTTTTCTGTATTATTAGTAAGCACAGAATACACACAATAAATAATGCATTTAACATGCATAATCCAAGAGTATGGCAGGATTCATCTATTCAAAAAGATGTTTTCAGGTTCCAGCTCCATAACAAGTTTCTTATTTCTCAAAACATCTTTTTAATGCTATTACATTGTTTTTGCAATAACAAAATATAATTTTGATGAAACACAATCACATGTGCATCACAGAAAACTTTTGAGGTATTCGGCACACAGATAAAATTCTGCAAGTCTTAAGTTACCAAAGACTACTAAGCACAATTATTCCCCACAAGGATGATGTTAACAAAATTCCTGGCAGACCACCTGCAATCACAAAATGTGATCTATTAAAAAAATTGTGTATCAGCTGGTGTGGCTCAGTGGTTGAGCGTTGAGCATCAACCTATGAACCAGGAGGTCATAGTTTGATTTCCAGTCAGGGCACATGCCCAGGTTGTGGGCTCAATCCCAAGTGAGGGAGGTAGCCGATCAATGATTCTCATCATTAACGTCTCTCTCTCTTTTCCTCTCTCAAATCATTTTTTTTTTTAAAAAATGGGAATACCACACTGCTAGAACTATTTACATAATTTAATTAAAAGCAAGAGCTCAAAAAAAGTCAGAAATAGATAAGATCACAAAATAAAAGATACCCGGGATGAAATTTTTAATTGGGTTCTATATTTCTAGTGCAACATACCTGTAGTTTGATTGGGGCACTTTGTCAAGACCTCTGGCGCTCTGAATCCTGGTGTACCTGCCCTAGGGGCAACCTGTTGCCGCCTTATGACAAAATAAGATTTTTCTAATTAGAGTTTAATTAATGAAGACCAAAAAATAACACTTATCAATTTAGTTCACAATAAATTCCACCTTGATATCTATATAAATAAAAGTCATTATAAAGCAAATGATAATCCAATGTAATGAAAATTCTAAATTTACTTCTATGGATCCTTCTCCACCATCTCTACTAGTTCCCAGGCCTTATTCCAGAAAGGTTTTAGGGTAACTTCCAGATATAAAAAGAGGTAGTAGATGGTAAGAGCCATAACAGAAAAATAGAATTCAATATGAATTCCTTATTCCAAATTTCCTTATTCACTAATATATTTATTAATTATTTGATTCTGGTTATTCTACATTGGCAGAAATAAAGAAAGAACACAAAAGATTAAATCAGCAAGCAAAAGGTGCAATTCTAAGATTCTGGAAAGGCTATTCCCCCACCAACATTATTTGCAAATAAGAGCAAGTGTGTTTTCCAAAGTGCACATGATGTTAAATGAACAATATATGACAATAGTTATCATTTGCTCTTCAAGGTGTCACTCTGCATCAGTGCCCATGTAGTTCACAGAACAGTGTTGCTCTCTTTCACTCACTAAATCAATTGACTCACAGAATCAATGCAATTTCTAATCTTGCCTAACAGCATGCTGGTGATTTTATAACACTGTCAAAACACATTACCTTGAAAGGCAAATACTGCAAACTTTATCTGTTGCATAACAGTCACAGGTCAGGTTAACTGGGCAAGAACTGGTAGTTTTCTTCATCACACCACTATTCATAACTTTGGCAGAAACAGCCTTCTTTTTTGTTGCTAACTTTCTGTAGAATACATCCACAGCCTTTGACTGCTTCACAGGCTGTAAAAGAAAAGTCAAATTTTCTATTTTCATGACATTTAACATGATGCTTCAAATGCTAGTATGGCAAAATCATAACTTTTAAAACTGCTGAATGTATTACTGGATTATAAGCAAATAGTTGTCTATTAAGACGTGTAAGGTCTTTTAGATTTTTCTGTTGAATAAACTTATTAAAATTTACTAATTAGTCCTAATTTGGTAAATAGTTAACTTCTACTTTATTTGAACTTTTCTGATATGTTACAAAAATATAAAGGTATGTTCTAGTGTCTAACTCCATTTCAGCACTGTAAACTGCATTACACTGGCTAAAATCAGAGTTTTAATTTGTTGCTCACTCTAGCGAGCTGTGGCAGGATAGCTTAAGTCACTTTAAAACCTTTTAACATTGGTGACAGTTTATAAACTTTACAAACATCTTTACGTTATCAACTGTGTCAGAAATGTGTTAGCTGCTGCAAGCTCACATTCTAGCCAGTGAGAGAAAAGGTCTTAACGATTCAAATGTTCCTTTAGAGAAAGAACAGTCAGCTAATGAAAAATCCCACCAGAAAAGTTCAGAAAAAAAAAAAATGGAAAAAATAAAAGTACTGACTAAAAACTCAAAGCAAGTAATACCTTCTGCCAAAGCAAAATTCTGCTTTTAAAAAGTTCCTGACAATAAATGCTAATCTAACCATTCCCTGAATTCTCTTCAATGTACGACTGATTGCACTAATAAGCTACATTACTTACTTTCACTGTAGGGCTCTCATGTGAAATGGAGCTGTGTATATTGAAATTTCTTTCTCCAAAAACAGAGCGCTGGACAGAAAGGCCTACAGAGCCATCCTACAATACCAACAAAAACAAGGAAAAAAAGGATTATATCTGTAACACTTTCTGCCAGCTGTACTCTGCCATAGTTTTGAAAGAGTTAAGTGACATGAAACAAAAACAGCTGCATCCAAGTCATTCTCAGGCACCAAAACACTTCTGTGAAAGGAGAAAATAGTCTAGACAGAACTCTTAACGCCCATACAATGTTATCATAGTCCACAAATATACGTAACTAAAAAAATTCAAAAACCACCTGCATGGTTGTTACATTTGGCATTGCAGCTAAAATGGAGATAGACACTTCAGAATTTTTCTCCTGTAACTAATGCTTTCTTGTAAAAAGGCTAATTAATCTGAACTTTAAAACATGCAGGAAAAATTTATTATTTTCCATTTTTGTTATATAACGTAATTGTAATGACAGACACCATAAATCTACCACATAAACTTCAGTTTCAAAATGGGAAAACAAGTCATTACAAATTTAGTAAAAATCTAATCAACTGGATATATAACAACTGTAAAAATTATTTTAAATTGCAAGTTATTATTCTAGTACTATATCTCCCTCTGTTGGATGAAGAAATACATTTCTAAAACTGTGTTAGTACTTAAGAAATAAAAGAGGTAGAACCTTTCCATCTTTTCCTTGTTTAATCTGAACCTGCGCATGTGTGTAGGGCCTTTTAACAGAAGTTTTTGTGGTGGGCTGCTCATCCAGCTCCCTGGGTGCTGTGGAGCCACCTAATGAAATCTTGTTTCCGGTGATTGCATGGACTTTATTTTCTGAAC